GTAAACAAAGCGAACGGGCTCAGTGTTGGTAAACGCTCTTTGGGCGGCAAACAGCAAACGGCGTCAAAATACTCACATGGAATAGCTGCTGCTAATAAATAAATAACTATGCGCGACAACTTTAAGTGATTTCGATTGTATTCCCCCCGCACCCGCCACAAACAATAAATCAGACAATGTTAAACGCTACTGCTTCCATAAACCAATGACATCAACACACAAAACGTAGTTGAATTCTCTCCAGCTTTGCTTTTCTTTAACTTTGCCTCTTTCTCGTCTCTGAGCTATCACCGTTCACGCTTATCGCAAACTGAAAAAGTCTAGTGGCCACTTGAGAAAGCAGGCAAAGCAGCCCGAACGCCCGAAGAGCACTTGAGTAGCCCGAAATGATGACAATAAAATAATTACGGTCTTATCGCCCACTAGTGCAGAGCGGAAAGAGGGGCGACCGGAGGTGGGGGCAAGGCATCGAATATTCTCACCTTATTCGGGTGGTGGCTAGTGTTCGCCTCGTTACGTCTCATTGACTCCATGCAGACGCAAACGATCGGGCGGCCGCACTGCGCGGGCGGCCCAAAGTACTTCCAATAGTGCCTGGTAGCGTGCAGGCAGCGGTGATGTTTTTGCTGCGTTTGTTGAAGTTGCTGTTGTCGCGGGCGCTACTGGGGTGGGGTTGTTGCTGCCGTTTAGTCGAGCTTTCCAGGCAAGCACACAGGGAGACGCAGGGCCTCGGCCCACGGGCCAAACTGTTCATTTTCAAAACTGTAAAAGGAGCGGAGAGATACAATTAAAATAAAATGCGATGCAGTGTAATAATGTACATACATACATATTTAAATCGGACTTAATATATGTACATGCATACATGTATACATGTATACTCTTATCACGTCATTGCCTCTCTGTGTACTCTGTGTTGAAAGGTTAACTACACTGTTTACATAACGGAATGCCATAATTTACAAGATGTTTTGCGGAGAAAAGGGGCATAGAGGTGGAGCAGCACCTTAACGACTCGGTAATTAAAGCACTTTGGCACAATTTACTGATAAGCGGCCCCACTGGCATCAGGAGCCCCGCTATCAAGAAGTGAAGTGCCCCGAATCATGATTTAACATGCGTGCTCAAGCACAGTAGCAGCTTCGATTTCGATTGCTGATAAGATACATACATATGTATGTACTGCTCGCTGGGAATTCTAGAAGTCCCAGGCAGCATTCTCTATTACCCGGTGTCCATGTCCACACAATCGAGCCATGCCGTCATCAGTGTCACATTCTACCTTGTTGGTTTTATTGCAAATACACACTTATTCCAGTCGAGTTCCCAAAACTTGTCCGAAAATGGGCTTAGAGTGGTTTTACATTTCTTGACCTAATACCCGCTTCTGTTGACCTCCAAAACCATCATAATCTGTGAAACTATACCAATAAAATACGTTTTTACATATCTACAAACATACATATGTACTTATGTAAGGTACATTTCTTTCCCAAAGCAGCTCCCTCTGTGTCACCAAGCAACAACAAAACAAAACTTGCGAGTCAAAGAGCGAATATGCGTCACCTTGTATAAAAACACCTTGGTAGGCATACACATGTATGTATATAAATACATATGTATGCATGTATAAGTGCGAGTTCGAGCACTCTGGTGAATGTGTGCGGCCGCTAATTGCCAGAGAGTAAGTACTAGGTCCATTCCCCTTCAGCAACAATCGCGTAGCGATTGTAGAGTCTACAGTTTTGTTGTTAGCTTCCCTTTGTTGCAATTTAATTGATTGATAGGTTTGACAGAATCTCTGTTGATCTCTCTCTCTTCCTTTTTCTGTGATGCGCTGGTTTTTTTTTGGGCAACAACAATTAAATTTGCATGTGCTTAACATTTTGTGATAATTAAGTGGCAGCCCGAAACGACAGAAAAACATGATTTTCGTGCGTGCGTGTGGGCCTCACTGGCGGAGATCTGACTGATTTTTGTTTGTTCTGTTCATAATTAATTGAGTTGTTGACTGAATGTTCTCAGAGCCCACACATTGCGTGTTTTTATATATAACTGTTTAGTTGAAGCTAATCCAAATGCTAATATCAACCAAATTACCACTACAGGGACACATAAATACTTATATTTGTAAATACATTCATATGGACATATGCATACATTTTTAGGTGATTAAATTGCGATTGAATCGCCATTGCAAAATGCAAAGAGGGAATGAGAGAGAAGATGTGTCGTGTTCAATGAAATGGTAGTGAAATACCTTTTTGAGTCACTTCCAGACTTTCAAATCAAACAAGTGTTACCTTTTGAACAGACTGGAATGTTGGCATTCGAAACAAATAAGTCACTACACATTTTAATTCCATCTACTCATTTTTCATAACTTTTGACGGGAACCCATTATTTGTGCTGTTCATTAAAATAGTAGTGCTGAGTGCAAGTTTTTAAAACAAATTTAAAAAAAGAAATAATTAATTTAAAAAAGTTACCAACAGGCCAGTAAGATTTTGATTTAAACTATTGAAAACTAAGTTAAATGTAATCTTGTTATTGCATTTCACTAGTATTTTAACTAGAAGAAAAACTGAAAACTCTGAAAATCGATTTTTTATGCGAAAAACGTAATTTTTAGAAGATGGTCGAAGTTGATTGAAGGCAAGGTTAATGTCTTCAATATCCTCAAAATTGATGAAAACAATTGCTTAAAGCTCTGAAAGAAAGTCCCAGAAAGCTACGCGTTTGGATACGAGAGCACAGGGGTGCTCAAAAAAGGATTTTAGCTGATGAGTGTAAAGTTGTATTATATGGTAAGAAATACCCAAGAGAATGAATGTATTTGGAGTTCACAGATTTCTGATTACTGCCAAAATTCTTGAATGAAACAGTATTGATCATGTTGGGTTGAGCCTTATGTATTCCAGCCTATTTAGAGTGGTATTCCCTAGCCTGGCGTTGGAGACTAAAGACTATACAATATTGTATGGTAAAAGCTTCCAAATAACGCACTCAGTAAAAAGAAAATCACTCGTATGCCGCCACACTCCATGCCATGTGGGTGGCAAAGAGTTTTGTGGTATGTATGTATATGGCATGTGTCATAAACGCGCCGACAACAGGCCCCAAAAACACAACAAGCCAAGATGTAGATGTGGATGCACATTGGGTGCTTGCTAGTGCTGTTGCTGGAAGCGCCAACACCGCATACAACAAACAACAAGATTGAAACACACCATAATTTAGACAAATCAATAAATTACTAATAGCCGCCGTTGCTGTTGCCGTGCCCCCTCTCCCGATCCATCGAACTATGCTGTCGTCGTTCAACATTCCAATGAATCCCAGAGACCGATGCCCACAACATGGTGGAAGTGGGAGTGTGGGGAGTGGAGTTACAAGCAACCGCAGGCAGGTAACCGAAGCACAAGATAGAGAGAGAGAGATAGCAAGTATACAAGAAGAGAAGAAGGTGAAGCACGGCAAAGGAAAGGCACAAAGACAGCGCCGGTCATCGTTCAAGTCGTGTTTTAAATTGGGTCTGCGGCAAGTAACATATTGTACGTGTACCCCACATCCCCTTCCATCATCAGAAAAAGAGAGAGAGAGAGAGATATTGAGAGAAGAGAGAGGTAGTGGAACGACTTCTCGTTATGGTCCCAGTCCCTGTCCGCACGTACTAAACATCAAGAACAACAACGAAGTCAAGAGAAAAGACAGTAACAGCAGCAGCATCAACATTCACCGGCAGCAGGAGGGGAGCATGGTGAAGTTAAAGATTTACGACAACATCGTTGTCGGTTCGGTCGGATTCAGCGTCGTCGTCATCGTCATCATCTTCGCTGCTGCTGCTGCTGCTTCTGCTGCTTCTGCTGCTGCTGCTGTACACGATTGATCCTTTGCGCTTGCTAAATGAACGCCTCCAGGGAGTTGCCAGTGCGCTTTTATTAGCGTCTGTCAGCCCCTTCCCGACCATAAAGAGTGGACAGCAACATATGTATATACATTTGTACCACAGCGTAAACGTAAACACACACATACACACACACACCCGCACACATTCGAGTTCTGAGTTGATCATTCGATTCGCGATAATTTGATTTTGTAAAAAATCACACATGCTACATATACATAGACATACCTATGCAAGTACATACATATGTACATAAGTACATACATAAATATGTACATACACATTCGATTATTCGATTACGTTGGTGGGGCGGCTTTTTGGGTTCCCGATGCACAGGGCCTGGGCGGCAAACCATCGGATCGCAACGTTCAATTAAATTAAGTGCAGCAGCAGATTCCTTTCCACTGCTTGTGGCATGCCCACCGCCACAAAGCGTTGCGACGCCCCAAAGTGTAGGCAGCAGCTCAAGTGCCGATCATGCCACTTAGACGAGGGTCGGTCTGAAACTGAGGAAGACAGCCTGGGATCGGGAAGAAGACGCAGACGCAAACGCAAACGCAAACGGAGACTTCACGGGGGTAGGTAGGAACACATTACATTGCCCCTCCGATGTATTGAGCGCTGGAGTGGATCTGTGACCATCCCCTTTCCATCCATTGACAGTCGCATTCACCAGCATTTATGACTTTATTCTCTCGACAGATCTTTTGTTGATGTCGCCAAGCCATCGAGTAATTTGTTGCCTTCAATTAAAAGGGCTCTCTCTCTGTCGCTCTTTGTCTCTGTGGTTACGTTATGCAACTCTGATATTCAACGGATGAAATAATAGAGAGAAGAGGTCTCGATTTTGTTCCCATGGCACTCATGCGCCAGACCTTCGGCGCTTTTCTGTCTCTAGTTACTAGTTGGAATCTCCATGCGACGTAGGTGTAGGTGTACATTATTACGAGTACGAGTATTCTTTAAAACTAATTGTAGTACTGTTATGTACTGCTACGTACTGAATCCAGATATAAAACCTATGACACGAGGATCGCATGCATATCGTGTATAGAGATGATGTTGCTGGGGCAGTACAAGCAATGAACAGCTGGAGGACCAGATTGTTGGCAGGTGAGCGCTATAAAAACCACAAAGTTGTGTCAATATTTAACAATACTTCGCCAAGATGCTGGCCCGTTCGCTGCACTCCTTCTCTGGACTTTGGGTGGTACTTCTGATCGCGCAGAGCTGCAACAGCGCGGTAAATAGCTTCAGCTCCGCCAATTTCTGTTCAAATATAGCATCCAAAAGAAAACTCTGCTCAAATGACTAATCCCATCGAACAGCGCAAATGGGACTACGAGCCAGTGTCCATCACCACCCACTCCTCGGACGAGAGCATGCTCAAGATCGAGGCCAAAATCGATCGGGTCAAGCGCGGCGAGTTCGCCATTTCGGCCACAATCGATTTCAACTATGCCATCGATGACACGGTCATGGTAGGTATGAGTGAAAGTGGCTTCTGATTGATGCACCATTATCCGCTTTCGCAATCAGATTGAGGCTGTCGCCTATCGCAGTTCGACGGGACAGGAGAGTGACTACAAAGTGGTCCCTTTCACCATTCCCAAGCAGACCTACGAGGAGTTCCTGAACACCCACTACAAGGACATGGTGATCAAGAATCTTGGCAGCTGCTCGGACCTGCCCCAGTTCGAAGACAAGTTTGTCCCGCCCTGGCCGCAGAAGACCTACAAATTGGATAAGTGCGTAGCCGACAACGACGGTTTCCCGGAAGTTCTGCCCTTGGGTTTCTACAAGATTGTCCTCACTATTACGGGGCCCGTTGAGTGGGGAATTACAATTGTTGCGAAGTTGACAAACAAACTGATGTGATGATATTCCTATGCGAACGGACAAATCCCTTTTACCAATACAGAAATTGCTATACGTACTACATATTCAACATTAAACAAGAGAGTCCCAAACTTACTGTGTGTTCATTTAGCAGGGGGGATCCGGCGATCGATCCGGATTAGGATTAAACCAGGCTAACACAGTTCGGGAAATAGTCGTGCATCGACAATGATCTTGTCCACTTAATGCTATAATTGCGGCTTGTTAATTGGCGGCAAACACGATGGAATCAACCTGTTATTCAAGAGCCCCCGAAAATTACAACAAAGGGTATAAATACTCCACCCGAATCACATTGTTGCAGGTCCAAATCCAACTCCAAGTCGAACGCGCTATGCTCTCCGAAACCACACAAATCTGGCTGCTGCTCGTGCTGTTCCGCGGTGCCGTCGGTGGGGTATGTAGAGGAGGCAGTTAACCCTCTCAACAGATAATCCACCAAATCAACGCTCGAATTCTAGAGAAAATGGGAGTACGAGCCCGTGTCCATAGAGACATACAGCACGGATGAGAGCCAGCTGAAATTCGAGTCCAAAATCGATCGTCTGAAGCGCGGAGAGTTTGGCCTGACGGCCATTTTGGAGTGGAAATACGATACAGACGAGACCACAATGGTTGGTCATTGAGTTCAATGAAATCACTCAAACGTACCCTCAATCCAACTTCAATCCAATCTTCTAATACCTTCCTATACCCCTCGCAGGTCGAGGCGAGTGCTTACCGCAGCGATTCTGGGGCGGAGAGCGATTACAAGCTGCTGCCGTGGACCATCCCGAAGCAGCCCTTCTTTGACTATCTCGACACGTACTACAAGGACGTGATCATTAAGAACCTTGGCCACTGCTCGAATCTGCCGCAGTTCACGGGAAAGTTCCAGCCGCCGTGGCCGAAGCAAACCTACAAGATCGATAAATGCATCTTCAATGGCGATGGGCTCCCGGAAGTAGTTCCGCCTGGTTTCTTCAAGATTATCTTCATTACCTCGGGACCCAATCAGCCTGAATGGGGTTTCACCTTCGTCCTCAAGATAACAACCAAATTATTTTAGACAATTACTTTTCAAAAATCTGCGAATAAATGTCCACGCTCTTTTGGTATACCAATTCAATCACAACGAACATGCTAGAGAACATTTTATCTACAGAATCTAGAATCTACATTTTAGACCCATCATCGAACTTTTCTATTTGATCTTCAGACAGTTTCAATTCGGAACAGTAGATGGGGAACAGTAGATGGCAGCACACATCCATGAAATTTAAGCTTCAGTATGGAAAGCCTGCGACAAATATCCTTTTAAAAATGGGTCTCCGGAATTGGTTGCGTTCTTTTTTTAAAGGGTGTTTTCCGCTTGGTCTAACGGTTCCACTGTGGTCCTTAAGGTGGCCATTTAACCATTGAAAAATTGACAAAATAAAGCAACGAATGGCAGGCACCGTGCCAAGGCTGGAGAACAATAAAATTGTTCTTGTTTGGGACACGCAAGATATCATTGTAGAACATTGAAAATTAAACCATTCGACAGGAGAGTGCGGGGAAATAATTAATTAGATTATTACTGCGGCCTCGTGCAGCCAGCATTCGACTAGAATATCCACCGATCGTCGGCTATATAAGTGGCTGTCCGATGCGATCTGCAATCAGTTTCAAGTTTCATTCGGAAAGATGTCCCACTGCTCGGTGCCGTTGTCATTCGCAGGCGTTTGGATGGTTATTTTAATGATCCAGAGTTCCATGGGAGAGGTATGTTGGCCATGACATGTCCCAGGATAATTCCCAAGCCATCTGTAATCATCCATAACCATCCATTAAAAGCGCAACTGGGAATACGAGCCCGTGTCCATCACTGCCTTCAGTTCGGACGAGAGCCTGCTGAAAATTGGAGCGCGGATCGATCGGCTAAATCGCGGGGAGTTCGCCTTTTCCATGACCATCGATTGGAACTACGATGCGGATGACAACACAATGGTAGGTGGGGGATCTTAGCGGATAAAAGTGATAAATGTTGACTGCACTCAACCTCTCTCGGATTAGGTCGAGGCTGATGCGTATCGCAGCATCACGGGCGATGAGAACGACTATAAGATCCTGCCCTGGTCTATTCCCAGGCAGCCCTTCTATGAGTACCTGAACGGCTTTTACAAAGACGCCTTCATCAAGAACGTTGGCCACTGCTCCAATTTTGTCCAGTTCGAGGGCAGCTACGAGTCGCCCTGGCCCAGGAACGTCTACAAGCTCGACAAGTGCGTGGCCAACGGCGAAGGGCTGCCAGAAATAGCCCCCGAGGGCTTCTACAAGATCGTCTACACGACAAGCGGACAGGTTGAGTGGGGATTTACCCTTATTGCCAAGGTCACCGCAAAAGTTCTCTGATAGAGAACAGACAATACTTTCCCCTATGCAAAAAATATCTTCAACAATGAGCCAGATCTGTCTTTAAGCCTTTTTGAGCGCATAATTGTATTTTGTATTTTGTATTTTGTCTTTTTTTTTTAACAAGAAATCCATTAAAACTTTCATCTGGGAAACCTCGAGGCAAATTGAGAATTTATCAGGGATATGACTAGCCCCATTTGGCCTTCCAAATCACCCAAAGTTGTTCGTTAAGACTTGATCTTTGCTCGCTGTAGGCGGTAACATTGAAGAAATAGGGAACACTCATACTACTGCCGAAGGGCCAGCGAAAATCATACAAAATCATACAAGCTATGGTTTTGTGGTTAAAAAAGGTTATTCGGTCATCTCGCAAGGATTTTCTTAAGACCAAATTCTTACAATCAGTTGGCCAAATATTTGCAGGAACTGAATTGAATGACCAACTCAATCGGGCAAATTTCCGATTCAAAACCAAACCTACATGTGATCCAATCCAAGTCCGAATTATCTACAGAATCGTGGTATATGAAGTGGAAGATATAATTGAAACATGATTTTTTCGTGTTGGTTATGTCCTTGAAAATCGGAACTAGATATATACAACTACATATGTTTGTGCATGTAAAGGACTAAGGTCAAAGCAAGCTATCAAACGACTGCGGGAGCTGATTTCGTACTCTATTCTGTCGCTGATCATTTCGGCCATGTCCGATGATTGTGGTGTCAAGGCAGGCCCAATAAGTGGCCTAAAAGCAGGTCGTTTACAGAACCCCTGGCCACCGATTCTGGAACATAGATCTCACCGTACGTCATGGTGAGTGACTGTTCCAAGAGATCCATAGCTCCGTAGATCAACGATCATGGACTAGTCACTTGTAAGACTCGTAGTAAGACAGGTGCCGAAAGCGCCAAGAAACCTTCACTTTGACCCGGTGGGTGCTCCCTCAATGGCGAGGGGATGCCGGAAATCCTTCCGGAAGGAAGTGAACCGGCAGTGAACCCAATGACTTACTGATCCTTACAGCCGAATTAAAGAAAGGGGACCACCGAAGGGGACGGTCACAGCGAAGTTTCTTCTACCACAAGTCACAATTCTTTGCACATATTTAGCTTAACGAGTTATCGTGACCATCGTCTGTGTCTGTCTGGCCAATCGAGCCAAAGCTTGTGGAGAAGAAAATGTGTGACAAGTACAAAAACAAAGGATCAATATACATAATGGCCAGAACGAAGACATCTCTCGGTCAGACAAACTATTACTATGATTTCTATGACTCGAATTTTATTCAACCGCGTAAACGGAACTATGAACTTGGCTAAGTGCGCCATAATCCATCTCTAATCCAGATTCCGTACAAAAAATAGTTGTGGAATTTCATTTAAACATGATCTGTCCGTGTTTATAATTGCCGGATAATTGGATCCTCTAATTAGACTCAACATACACAACATATGTTCTATATAAGGCTAAAATCAGCGCGCAAACTGCCAAACAGTTGTGTGAGATGTTTTCAAACTTCATTCCGTTGCTGGTCATTTCGGCCTTGTGCGATGAGAGCGCCGCAAAGGTAAGCTTTATAAATATGCTGTCTAAGAATGTAAATGGTCGGATCGGTCCAATCAACTTTTCTATAGACGAGCTGGGATTGTGAGCCGAAGTCGATCAGCGCGCACTCCACCAACGAAAACCTCTTGAAGGTGGACCTGCGAATGGAGCGGGTGGGACGCGACGGGTTTTTCTTCACGGGAATCGTGTTCTGGAACATCGATATGGATGAGAGCGTCATGGTGGGTGTCCATTTTGGTTGTAGTTATAATTTACTTGAAGACTCTGCAAAACAAGGACCAGCATTCACGTTTTGTGAATGTGTTTTAGGTGGAGCTGGAACTGTACCGGAGTACAACCGGTGCCGAAAGTGACTACAAGTTGACGCCCATGTCCATTCCTAGGCAGACATTCATAGAGTACATAAACACCTACTACAAGGACATGGTGATCAAGAACCTGGGCGAATGCTCCGACCTGCCGCGCTACAAGGACCAATATGTGCCGCCCTGGCCCAAGAAAAACTACACCCTGACGCGCTGCAGCATCAATGGTGTGGGAATGCCAGAAGTCCTTCTTGCCGGGTTCTACAAGATTAAGGCCAACATCAGTCACCCAGAAGTGAACCAACAAGTGATAGCCATTATTAAGGTCACGCCAAAGATGTTCCGATAAACAAAGTTGAATAAAAACCTAATAGAAATGTGAGCTGGGTCCTGGTCCCAGAGTCTTAGCTTTTGGGCTGCCAAATTCCAGCTGCGAGTGTCGTTATTCCTGTCCCAAAATGGCGAGGTAGAAGTACAAGAACCCGGCCTCCGCAGCATCCAGATCGAGTGTGAAATTGGCAAGACATGTTCGCAAATTGTTGTGGCACAAAGTGTTAGCTGAAGTGTTAGTGTTGGGGTGCAGCGAGGAACGGGCACGTTGTCGAAAAAGTGTCACCGTCGCTGTTCCCCCCCTCTGTCCAAGTACGATTCGAATTGCATTTCAGGGGAACACTCTGTTGCACAGTTGCAGCGGCTAATTTATTGCAAATTGTTAAAAGCTGCAACCAGCCCATGCTGCTGCCTCTGCTCCTGCTGGCTGTCAACTGATGACAGCCCCCCGCCTGCCATCCCATTTACAGCCAGCACCCAAAAATGTGCTGGCAACATTTGCATGGGAACTCAGAGTAATGTAGTCCGTCCCCTCTGCGGGGCTCAACAATTCGTAGCAGCTGCATAATACCCCGGGGTTCAAATAGGCCGCATTACACACGACACTTGCTATAATAACTGATTTAATTGAATGCAATAATCATCATCTTCAAGTCATGAGCATGCAGAGGCAGTATGTATTTTTTACCTCAAAGTAGACGGGCTGGAATTATTGAATCGAATCAGCTTTTCAGCCATTCAACTGAAACAGTTTGAGCAGTTTCCTTTGCTCTTTACCTCTGCACCACACAGTGAACACAGCGACTTGGTGCACCCCGATTAGCATAAGGGAAATGCCGCTCCCGCTCCCGCTCCCCCTGCCCATGCCCG